TCTCCTATATATTCTTGACTAATAAGGGCAATCATAAGGCTTTCAGCTAAGCCTAACAATTATTGAATTAAATGGGAAGTTATAGATAATGCTATCGATTTCATAAATTTATTTTGTTTTCTGGAAAGTATAAATAAATAAATAATAAGTTTTATATAAAAGAAATTTTATTTAGAAGTGTTGAATAGATTTATTATTATTATTTTTTTTCTTGTTTGTTACTATAATTGGAAATAATTTAAGAAAATCGTTAAGTTTTTAATACTGTTTATTCTGTCTTCTGTCATATTATTATTGCCATTAATTATTCCAATATTAGCGTATTTAACAATATATATATATAAAAAAATATGATGCCTTTAAATAACAACAAAAGAAAAGGAAGAATTAGCAATGTCAATAAACCAGGAAGACCTAAAGTTCTTCAAGAAAAAAATTCTTCTGTAAGTTATCTTTGAAATTTTTATAATCATTAATAAGATATAATTGTATTGTTTTTATCTAAGTTTTTAAAAATGTAATTGTAATTTTTATTTGGATAAATTATTATTTTAATTGCTAAACAAATTTTTTTGCATAACATTTTTTTAAGTATTTTTTCTATTATGAAATGATAAAAAGATGGAAAAATGGTTTTGTTTTATTTAATCACAGTTGGACTTTTAATGTAGTGACTGCATAGTATAATAAGTGGACAATTTTATTGGTCTTTGCTATTCTTTATGTATAGTGAATGATTTAGCTCAGTCTTTCAAGAGTTCACTATTTCAAGAAACTGCTGTTATTTTGTGTATAATATTTTAATCTTAAGTACTTTGTCACAGACTACAGGTATACCTTGAGTTACATCGTTCTCAATTATATGCCATTTGTCAAAAAATATATGAAAAAATAAAAATCAAGTTTAAGTCATTTTATTCGACTTTATGTCCGTCCGCCACAAATATTGAAATCGTAATATCACTAGAAAAGTGTTAAAGCACACAAAATCATATTAAAATATGTACATTTACAGTAAATGTTAATATAATCATCATAAATCCTAGAGAATGAAACACGAAAACATCTGTGTTTCTGTGTTTTCATCTTATTTAGCAGTCTTTAAGTGCTCAATATTGATGTTTTCCACAGTAGCTCCAATATCTACTGTTTGGCGTCATTGTCGGCACCACTCGATATTGGTAAATTTCATGTAAATTAGTTTATTTTCTACTGTCTCAAGGTAATTTTAATAACTGTATTTGTTATTTAACCTTACAAAATCATCTTATTTTATAATGTCTTAGAGCAAACTACATTCACAAATAAAGAGTCTGCGATGTACTGTAAACATCGCCAAATTGTAAACATGTACAGTACATTTATAAGTATGTACTGTATGTACTGTACATGAATTTGTAAATTTAGATGACTTTTTTCTGTACTATATTAAAAACTAAAATTTATTTGTTTGTAAGCTTAAAATACATTTTTATTAACCATATATTATTAAAAATGCATTTATAAAATATAGAACTGGGAATGGTTATTTGTGATTTAGCCTAGTGACAAGTAAATTCGGAGACAAGTAAAGATGACTTTTTTCTGTACTATATTAAAAACTAAAATTTATTTGTTTGTAAGCTTAAAATACATTTTTATTAACCATATATTATTAAAAATGCATTTATAAAATATATAACTGGGAATGGTTATTTGTGGCTTAGCCTAGTGACAAGTAAATTCGGAGACAAGTAAATTTGACTTATGTCGTTTTTCGATTTAAGTTGCCTCTCCTGGAACCAATTACCGATGTAAGGCGAGGTATATCTGTATACATTGTAATTTATTTTTTTGTGTGTGTGTAAGTATGTCTGTCTGTGTATATATAACAGCCAACCCAATACACCAGAATTTTCAAATGATCTGCTGGATCAAGTAGCATAATTTAGCCTGAAAATCTGACAGATCGTTTAAAAACTTTTTACTCAGAACATTTTCATATTATAATAGAAAACAATATTTGAAAGCAGAGCCTCTGTTTCTTATGTGATGCGAAAAGTCTCTGGTTATAAAATCAAAAGTACTCATAAATTTTTAAACTATTTCACTTTATTTGTATACTTTAACTAGTTTTGTTGTGCAAATATTAATTGCATATTTATATATTTATTTATTTATATTCTAATTGGAAGGAGTTGTTCGCTAGCAGTTTTTGATATGCCAATTTAGATATTCATGTGATTTATAGAGATAGTTTCAGATTTTCCTTTCCACTGCAAAGCTGCTAAGTCATTATTGACCAATGGCTTGGACATGCTTAGAATAAACTTGCTCTTCTTTTCGGCTGTTGTGCTAATAGTGTTGATATCCAGCCAGGTCATTCAAGTTGTTTGTTTTTTCATCACTGAAAACAATTTCTTGTCACTCAGTTGTCCAACTCATCTTTGTCTTTCAACTC